AAAAGTGAAAAATTGAAAAAGTGAAATAATAAAAGTGAAAAAATGAAAAGTGAAATAATAAAAGTGAAATAATATATATAAAAGTGAAAATAAAAAGTAAAATAATTAAAAAGTGAAAAATAAAGTGAAAAATAAAAAGTGAAAAATCGAAAAAGTGAAACAATATATATAAAAGTAAAAAATAAAAAGTGAAATTTCTAAAAAGTAAAAAAATAAAGTGAAATTTCTGAAAAGTGAAAAATAAAAAATAAAAAATAAGAAGTGAAATAATAAATAGTGAAATAATAAAAAGTGAAATAATACTAGAGAATTTTATTATTATATAAATATTTTTGAAATTTTCATGTTTTTCAATTATTTTTGAATTTGCGATTTTTATTATTATTATAACAATAAGTTATAATAAGTTGTTAGTTTATTTTTTATAATATTGATTAATTAAGTTTTTAATAATTAGCAAAGTTTATTTGAGATAGAATATTAGTATTTTGATTTACTTATTTAAATTAACAATTAATTATAAATTGTATTCTATTATTATAATAATTTATTAAGATATTCTTGATATTGAATTTATTTATTTAATAAAAAATTATTATAATATATTATAATTAGTTATAATTTTAAAGATTGTCATAAGTAAATAATATCTAAATTATTAGATAATTCAGATTATAACTAAAATTTTTTTAATTATACTTGAGTATACAATTACTTTTTCTCAATTTTGATTATCTTTTTATAAGAGTATAACTTCTAGTTTAAAGTTAGAAATATCAATATAAAGATAAAACTTCTTTGTGAAAATTGAATAAATTAATATTAATATAGTTCTAAATAAATTCTCAAGTTTGTTAAAAGCTTTTTCTTAATCAATAATTCAAATAAAGATAATATTATTTTGTAGTATAATCAATTTCTTTATAGTCACCACTCACAGGAAAGCAAAATTTGATGAATATAGAAAGAATATAATTATAAAGAGATTTTTTTACTTGTAAATGAGAAAGCAAAATAAAATGACTATATATAAGTATAATTATAAATGAACATGATTATAGAGAAATTTGATTATAATTTAAATAATGAAGTGATGATTTGTAAAAACTCTTTGACAAACTTTTAATAATATTCAGCTAATTCAAGAAATGGCCTCAAAATCATATTACTCAAAAATTCAAATCTCTAGATTTCTCTTTTTATCATCATACTCAATGATATCTGCAAATATCAATATAGAAATTAGAAATAAATGAATATCACTCAGTCTAATCACTTTCCAACTCATTGTTACAGATAAAATTATCAATTATGTTTACTTATAATTTATTTGTAACAATATAAAAAGCATTTAAATGGTATTCAAATTAGCAGAGGGTGAAAATACTATAAAACAATGCAATCTTGGTTTCTGTTATTGAAATGATATTGAAACACAAAAAATGATATAAAAGCATTCAAATAGTATTTGAAATTAGCAGAGGGTGAAAATTTTGAAGGATAATGTAACTTTGACTTTTGAAAAGATGATGTAAAAGTATTTGAGTGCTATTTGAAAGCAGCAGAGAGTGGATATACTTTAGGACAATCTAATCTTGGTGTTTGTTATCAAACTGGAATTGGAACACAAAAAGATGAGGAAAAACATTCGAGTGGTATTTGAAAGCATCAGAGTGAAAATGCTCTAGGATAATATCACCTTGTTAACATTTCGATATTGGAACTTTGAAAAGATAACAGTATGAGAAAGACAAAAAATTGCATCGAAAAATAGTTTTAAATTTTCATTATTTGCTAAGTTTATTTTAGCTTAAAATAGATTTTTCTCTTTATCATTACATTTCTCTTGGTATTTAATAGGTTTTTATATTTCAATATTTTTAATTTAGTAATATAAATATGCAATTTATATTAAATGACATAAAATTTTACAAAATAAGCATCATATTTTGTTAATAGTGAAATTAGCATATAGAATACACATTTAATGCTTAAAATTTCTGCATCTACAGATATATCATGTATTTTATTATCTCATCTTTTAAATTTCGCCTTTGTTTTTTATTTGTTTTAGAATAAACTATGTTTATTATTTCTACATTTAGTCAAAATTATAATATGTATTTTTTTCTTTAGAATAAAGATAAGAAATTATAATACAGTATTTTTCATAAAGTTAAATAAAATAGATATTGTGACTAATGATACTTGACGAAGTCGAAACCTTTCGTCACGACCATTTTGAAAATATCTGTGACGAATGACGAAACCTACGAATTAGTAGTACCCTATAGTAACAAAGTGAAGACCAAGAAAAAGGGCAGATCATGTGATTCCGATCCCTAATGCATAATATTAATAGAATTTCGGTTAGGATCAGGTTTAGGTTTAGAGTTAAGGTTATTGTATAGTAAACGGGCGTATAATATATAGTAAAATTTCGCAAAGAACATTTTTTATTAAAATTGTAATTAATATAGATAAATGGATATGTAAAAATGTGAAGAATAAATTTACATATTACACTTGAAAATTAATTCAATTATTTAATTATTTAATTATTGGTTTTGTAGCCTACTTATAAAAATAGAACAATTTCAAACTGATATAAAAACTTTTTAATTTGTTTAAACCAAAGAAGAATAGTTTCTATAAAAAAATAAAAATTTATCTAATTTTGAATGTGAAATTTCAATTTGTATCGATCAAATTTTTGTGGATGGGCCCATACTGAAACAAGCTATTTTTCAAAATAAGTATCGTTTATTATTTTTAAATTTTTGCGTTGCACATTAATCTTGCGATTTGATTGGTGCATAATTTTTAAGGGTGAGATCGGATGATCAACATCAGGATCAGAATCACATGATCTGCCCTTTTTCTTGGTCTTCGCTTTGGTACTTGGTCTTCACTTGTGTAATTATCTGATTTAACAAACAAATACATGTATTGAATCAACGTTGATTTTCTCTTGACCTAAAAAAAGTCAAAAAACTCGATATATATTATATGAGAAAAAATTTCTCCAATACGTTTCCAAGAATCTGAGAATTTAAAGATCAATCAATATCGATATATCCAATGTCGACAAACTTTATTTTAATCAAAAAATGTACTGTATGTATCTTTCATCTCTAACGCTGAAGTTTGTTGTACGTATCGGTATCGGTATATACGTATCGAGATCGGATATCGAAATTCTCAGATTTATTATTATACGTACATGTATCAAAAATCTGCTATTGGCAAATATCAATATCGATATCGATATCAGCAATGTCAATTTCTATCGCCATCGTTATTGTGCTTTGATACACAAGTCATTGAAACCAGTTACATACATTGTACATGTACATGTATATCAATATCGTCATAAAACATTTAAAATGGCCGCTAAACTTAATGATTATGTCTCCAAGAAATATTTGAATCCGTCAGTAACGAGAAACAAAATTTATTTAACTGTGCACTCGTCAATCGCCACTGGTGTATCAACGCAGTCCCGATTTTATGGAGAATCCCGTTTCCTTTTCCACCACACGGCGGTCCAGCATTTATTTCAACTCTAATAAAATACGATAGCGACCAACAAAGAGCACCATTTTTATATCATCGATTAATCAAGCAAATAGATTTGTATCAGCTGGCGGAAGCGATTCAAGAATATTATTCAAGTTTTTCAAACGCATCAATAAATACTGCGACATTGTATACGTTGAAAAAGCTTTGTCACAAATTGATCAACAGCACTGAGAACACCTTTTTTGAGCTTAATTGTCAATATGACAGTGTGAAAAATTCAACTTTTGGAGATTGGAATATTTACCAAATACCAAATGCCAACGCATCATTAAGCAAACTGCGTAATTAAGCATCTCTAGCGTTAAAAAAAGTAGAGAAATTCTTGAATCCGCAACTAAAATTTCGCCTAACCTTTCAAATCTCAAAATAAGTTGTGACGAACATTTCACCGCCTATGAAGAATTGTGTCAGCTAATTTCCTATATCAAATTGTTCAACAATTTAAAATCTCTAAATATTTACGTATCTGATGAAACAAACGGTGACAAGCTTTTGTCTGAACTCGGCAAAAACTTACCAAAAATACTGGAGACTCTTTACATTAATGGTGATTTCGAGTTTTCAGAGGAATCACTCGAAAAGTTTTTGCTTGGGGCAAGAGAAGTAAAATTTCAGTCATTAGGCTTTCCGGAATCGGTATGCATTTCAGATGGACATTTGGAAACTATTTTGAGGGCGATTCACGATTCAAGTTTGGATATCAGCATTAAAAAACTTGTTATTTATTGCGCAAGATTTGTGACCACAGATCAAGCTATAAAATTTCAAGACCAAAGAATTGAAGTTGCAGTCATGAGTTACTTTGATTTTTATCCTGACAATATTTATTATACTTACGAAGATTATGATTATGATTATGATTATTATTATACTGATGATGATGATTATTATTATAATTACGAAGATTATGATTATTTTGATTATGTTGATTATGATTATTTATTCTGATTAAAATCCTTGGATTGATAATTTATATTCTGTATTAGTATTTTGTGCTGATTGTGTAAAGCAATTTAGAATTCTTATTTGGGATTAGTGTTTTCACTCATTGTATATTAGTTATGATTTTCTCTCATTCAAGTTGGTATGCAGTACCTTGTCATATCTAAGATATCAATTAGTTTTGTATTACTTTGGTTATACAATATTCCAAATATCAACAAAGAGCAATTATTTCCTGCTATTACAACAAAATTAATATCGACCCCTCAACAGATTGTGTCTAAACAATACATTTGAACACTTTCTAAAATCGACGCACAAACTTGACCGTAAAAATTAGTCAGGATGGGGCAGATTAGAGTTTAGATATTACTGGTACATTTCAAAAGTCATTGCTAATTTTAGTTGGGTTAGTTCAGCTGTTATTCGTGGGCAGTTCTCTCCCTAATCCTTTAGAAACCCTTAATTTGCTAATTACGGGAAAGAATGTTATTGTGGTGGCTTCAGTCTTACCGCAAAGTAGTTGTTCACCTCAATTGTTTCTTTTACTAGATCAAGAGAAAAAATTGGAAGACCAGGACTAGAATATGCTTTAATTCGACAAAATGAGAAGTACTATTTATATTTCATTAATGTTTGCTTTTAGGCATTTTGATTTCGGCTAGTTCTATTTGAGCACACAATAAATTTTTTTTTATCAAAAATTAAGGTCAAAATTTATGAAAAAATTTGACTCTAATATATTGATGAGAATCCGTAATTACAAAATTAATGACCTTTAGATAGATGCAACTTATAAAGTATTAGAGTATATTTTAATGTAGTGACAGAAACTTTGATTTTTTTATTGACAAGAAATGTTTTATAATATCTTTGAATTCAAATTACCCTAACCAACCCAACACAACCATCCGATATCTCCCTTGCCAAAAGAACATTATTAAAAAAAATTGAACCTATAATAATTGAAGTTAGTCTTGAACTTGCGTCATTATCAGAATTGCTCTCAGCACATGACCGACACGTAAACGTTAGGTGGTTTATACATGTATATGATCATGTGGTAGGAGTTTTACGTATTACATGTAATAAAAAATATCACATGATAAATGGCATGCCCTTAAACCAATTAAGTAATACAAAAGAAACCTGCTACATGTATTACCGGTACGTACGTACACATAATTTCTTAACGTTAATAAATGTCATCATCATTATGATATCAATGCGTTGATGTTTAACGTTAATTGGAAAAGTTGATTTGGTAACAAATATATTTATTTGTTTCTTTTTCTTATTCGAACCCACAAACGTATCAATGGATACTAAAATGCATGATAAAATAGAAAATAAAAATCGAGAAGAAAATGAACAAACTATTATTCTGAATATTGGGGGTGTTAAAGTATGTTGCTTATTAAATACCTAAGCAATATTCCATATTCAACTAATCATTTTATTACATAGTATGAGACTTTACGATCCACATTGACTGCACACCCGGATACATTACTTGGTACGATGTTTGCTGAAAGAAACAAGCACCTCCTAAGGCCAAAAAACGGCAACGAGTATTTTATCGATCGCAACAGCCGTGCGTTCTACTACATCATGGAATACTATCGTACCGGCGTAATGAACTGGCCAAATAGAAATTCAGAAGAAAACAAAAATGACGTATCACTACAAGAACTCAACACCGAACTCGATTACTTCCAAATAAAAGTAAAATTAGAAGATCGACGAGCCGAGAACATTGTTCTGCAACTCAGCAAATCACTCGACTCGTTTGTCTTTTATCTCGAGGAAAATTTCGGCCAACATATGGAAAATATGGAGTCTGATATTTGGTTTAGAGTATCACCGGATGCGGAGCCGAAGTTTTGGATAAAAAATTCAGGATGGATCTCTTCGCCGTTCACTTCAAACAAATCATTAGCATTTCATTTGATGAAGAGATTTAGGGATGAGATTTACCAGCATTTAAAGACGACCTTTAATCGAGCAAAAATTGAAACGAGATCTCAGAATAATGATCATATAGAATTCATATTTACTCCATACTATGACCTTGATGCGATTTTAAATCTAACGAACTTGAAATACAAATAGCAAGAAGAGTTATAGTCAGACGAATTTGTTTGAAAGGATTGTTTTTTACTGATTAGTAATTACCTAATATATGATAAGATGAACTTATGAATAAATTATCTTGTTTGAAGTAGATTGGATCTATTGAGTCTTCTTGTTTCTACGTAATTTCTAATTTTTTAATGCCTATCGTTATTATGCAATACGTAATCGATCACGTATATACATGAGAATTTCTGAACCCACAAGTTGTCAAAACCTGTATCAAAAAGATAAATTAAAAAACTGTTCAATGAAAATCTTTTTTGTACTCGTAGAGTTTGGATTATTGTATGTAGACGATTACGTATTACTTTGTCTACTTCTACACCAACTCTTTGATCAAACAACTATTGTTGCTTATCAGCTGGAGTTTAATGAATTTTTTGATTGAATTAAATTCCTTACCGGGTGGGCATACATTTGCACTATTCAAATATTAATGATACAAATACAAGTACCATTTTTTCTGTATATACGTAAATTGGATGCTGCATTTATTCTATTAAATATTTAGCATTTAGCTAAAAATATCGATATCAAAATTCTATTTAACCAAAGTTGTCTCACGAAATCGGCATTTCTGCCATTCCCCATTCTATCAGCTAAAGCCTTCCACTTACCCTTTTCCGCTTCGCCTGCTAGCTCTGCCATTCCTTCCATAATCATTTTATCTTCTTCAGGTGTCGATGCTCCTTTTCTTGCAGAAACGGATTTGCCTCCATTTTTTGAGGAATGACTTTTCTTGATAGATACTTCTTCCCTTTTATCCATCGCTTTATCCTCATCTTAGTAGATGGTGATTTCTTTTCTTTTTTTGATTTAGTTGTGGATAGGATGTGGTATCTTTGTTTGCTCGTTTCTTCATAGGAGGTTCTTCCGTCTCGGGACCGGTCCCATCTGCTGTCTTGGAAGTTTTCTTGTGTCGTTTTTTAGATGTAGTTGTGGCATTTTTCTTCTTTTGAGAAGACTTGACTTCTGTCTTGCGTATAGGTGACTATGATTTATTTAAGAACTGTAAATTAACTTCAGAGTCACTAGTTTAACGTGCACACACACAAACTATGAAATACCACTTCAGTTTCGTCCATCGTGAGACGTTCTTGAAAGGATTCTTCTTTTGTCTGATCGTCGTCTTTCATCTTTGCTTCGGACATCTTGACTAATTAACGCATGAAACGAAATTAGAAGCACTACTTTCAAATTTTATACAAGTTTACGAGCAAAAGAAATCAAAATCATTAAGTAGAATAAATCTTAAAATCTAGCAATTGAATGGTGTTTGCGCCGGCATGATAGAATAATGGATGTCTTGGTGTTTTCATCATTATGGCAATGATAATTATGGTCGAATAATGAGCAAAAAGAATTATTGCAAAAATCCCGCATAGGGCGGAAGACCCTGTTTAAAGTACCCTCACTTTTTACTAATAGTTTAGTTTTCTTTTCATTAATTAATCTTGTCCGTGAAATGCAAAATACACCAGATCGTTTAAACAGTATTTGGTTTTTTCTTTATAGACAACAATGAGCTTCTATGCTACATTACAAAACAAATGAAAGCATATCCGGTGCCTGCGTAGTAAGATGGATGGCACAAACGGTATGGTGTGAACTCGGACACGCTTGCTCTTAATTCAATTCAGAACACGCAATGTGTAGATGCCCAACGGAGAAAATTCTAGAATACGCAGATATTATAATCACACGAGCTAAGGGTGAAACGCGATAGTAAATGATTGAAAAGTTGATTAATAATTCTTTAATTTAATCTTTGTTGCTTCCTAATTAGTATGCTAAAAAATCCCGTTTTTACAAATTTTTGAAATACTTATAAACTTCTTTTTAATAATTTCAACAGAATGTTATGGCTTCACTCCCAAAAACTTGCGAATCGCTTCGACACCGCCATCTTGGAAATGATGGACAACTATGCCGCTCTGACGAAAAGCTGATTCAAATTCTGATCAAAGCTAAAATCTAACGTGCGCTAATTTGAGACTTTTTTGATAGCCATCAATTGCTGTAAGGCTTTGCTTAAAATGAAGGAGGAATCTGTCAAACTTAGTATTCCTTTTAAGAATACTGTTGAATTTAGACAAAAAATAGAAAACTTTCAAGATTTGCAACAAAAAATTTCGCAAGCTTCAAAAGTTAAATTAACTCATTACTTTTGAAGAGTAGGGTGACGAACCACATTTCGGTCTAGAAGCAAAAATGCTGCATCTCGGCAAACAGAGTTCTTTTACGAGGTCCCATTTGTGAAACAATCTTGATTCGCAAATTTATCTTCACAGACGCAAGGAAGTCTACTGCAGTATCTATTGTTATTAACAGTTTACAAACTTCTGTGTGAAAAAGATGATGATATTCTAGAGTTGATACAGGCCCTGTGAAAAAAAAACAGACCATTTTTGACCCGGAAAATTTTCAATTTTTGAGTCTGAAAATTTCTGAAGTTTTTTCAGTTTTTGAATATTCAACTCAGATCCAGAAATTCAATGATTTGGTTAACAAATTTCTGAAAAAACATCCAATACTTTCTGGATTATAGTCTGATATTTTATAAAAAAAAAGATACATCCAAATTTCACTTATATTCTGACTTTTAGGAATATAAGTGGAATTTGGATGGATCTTTTTTTATTTTTTTGAAATATAGTTAGAATATTAGTGGAATTTGAATGGATCTTTTTTTATTTTTTTGGAATATAATCAGAATGCAAGTAAATTAGACAGATCTTTTTTTGAATATAAAATTTATAATTATTATTATTATAATATATCTAAATATTCTATATTTATATATCTAAATGTTCTCTATATAAATGTTCTTATATTAATCAGAATTAATAATTGAAAAGAAATATCAGAATTGTAATAGAGGAATGTCAGAATTATAATGGAGAAATATCAGAATTGTAATGGAGGAATATCAGAATTAATAGTAGAAAAATATCAGAATTAATATTAAAAGAAGAAGTTAAGAATTGTAATGAAGGAATGTTAAAGTATTTGAATTAAAAAAAATCAGAATATTAAATAAAAAAAGATGTAAAAATATGATTAAAATATTAAATAAAAAAGAAGTAGCAGCAGAAATAGATTTGTCAGAACAAAACTTGAGTAAAACTGATAAAAATCTAATCTAAAAACAAAAGCAAGTGCAGTAAAAATTATTATTAAGATAAAATTAATAATTTTTCTTATCTATTTTATCTATTCTTTCTCTTTTTTGAATACTCTTTGTAATAATTCTTCTATTACTATTATTATTTCTTCTAATTTTTTTATTAAAAGATTTTTTTGAATTTTGGCTTTTTAACTTTTACTTTCTGAGGCTTAATACTTTTGATTTTAAATAAAAAAGAGATAAAAAAATAAAAAAGAAATAAACAGAAATAAAATTCAATAATTACTTAACTTATTTTTAATGGCTTTTCTTTTTTGTATTAATATAATAGTTCTTAATATTATTAGTATTATCTTTATTATTATTATTATCATTATTATTATTCTATTCATTATTTAGTTCTTTTTTCAATTCTTTTTCTTATTTGTTTTTCTCTAATTCATCTTTCAGCTTATCATTATTTATTTTTACTTTTGAATAATTTATAATAAAATTAATTAAAAAATAGTTAAAAAAATAAATTATATTAAAATCTTAACTTTTAGTAAAGTAAGTAAATATTTATTAAATTTTTAATTAAATATCTATTTTAAATAATTTAATTATTTTATATAATAGCAAATTATATCAGATAATTGTTAACTATAGGAATCTTTATTAGAGTCAGATTTTTAATATTAGTATAATAATAGTGATATCAGTTTTAAAATTTTTTTGGTGATAATAGTAGTTCTTTTTGTTTTATTTTTTAACTTGTTTTTTTCTATTTATTATACCAATTATTACAAATAGTTTTTAGTATTTATTTAATAGAAAATTATTTTTCAAATTTGAAAAAATCAGATTATTTGTTTTAAACTAAAAAAGAATAAAAAAATTAAAATATATAATTGGATATAATTTTTTTTAAACTTAATTATATACTTTCTTAATAATTTTGTTTGAACAACAAGAATCTAAATTTAAATTAAAATTTTGCTTATTTACTTAATGAATTGTAAAAGTAATAGCAAAATAAGTAATAGAAAGATTAAAAAAAACAAATTTGATAAAATACTTGATAAATTTCAAATTGTTATTTATTCATATTTAAAAATTCTGATCAGATTATATTTTTATTATATTTTTTTTATCTTGTTAAAATTTTTTTTCATATATAAATTTAAATTTAAATCTTTCAGATACTAAAATAAAAGTTTAATAATTATTTAAATTAACAAAAAAATATATTAAAATCTTACATATTCATTTATAATTCCAATAAATAAAATAATTTGTATTGAGTTTAAGTTTGAGAAGCTGAGTCACTTATAATGAATATGATATTTTTTATTCTGCTACGAAAGAACTAAACATTATAATATTATTTATAAGTTGCAAAAATAAGATTATGTGTTTTTTTATAATTGCATATTAGGATACAGAGTTTATGTAGTTCAAACTATTAGACTTGGCGCACCATATCGATACTAAGAAAGATTCAAATACAATGTGCAAAATTTCCCACTGGAATTTTAAAGAACTTGCAGTTTCTGCATTGATGACTTTGACTTTTGTGCTATATTATTTATTATATTAAATAAATAACTTTAATATCGTTATTTACAATTTTTTCATTTTTAACATAAAATTTCGTCGCTTTAGCTTTCATTCTGCTGTAATTTTATCTTTTTGTATAAATTTCTTTAAGTTCGTCGATAATTTCTTGATATTCATCGGCTAAAGCCTGAGTATCGCTGGCAATACATTTAGCTGATGACTTGATAGCATCACAAACATAGCGTTAGTAGAAAAACGGTCAATGGTAATTTTGCTAACTTAGCAGACCTATTACTAATCGATGCTCTTTTCCTGAACAAGTTTCGGAGTCTTTGCATTTATTCAAAATTCTTTCAATTTGGTTGTCTGCATCGTCGAAATCTCTTATCATTATAACTTCATCGAACGCTTCGAGGGCGTGTTTGAATTGCGTTCTCATCAATTTGTGGAAGATCCAGTACTTTGAGAATTTGCATGCTGATAAACTGATTTGATCTTAAAATGTGCTATAGAACTGAAGTTTATTCAGGATTTTGAATGTGGATGTGCACGTACGCGTACACTTTTTTTTAAACAAATAGCTATTCTGCAAGCTGCGCATTATGATGTGATTTTAAAAATGAAGAAATCTCTTTGTTTTAATTACAAATTTTGATAGAAAAGGGGTTTGGAACTTTCTTTATGGAATGACCACCAAATATTCTTGCTGTTTAATAATTGGCATTTTCTTTCTTGTCAGTTCGGCTCATTGTTACAGGTACTTTATTGATGGACTTGATAAGCAGATTTCACATGTCATCTATCACTTCGCACGATTGTTTTGTATTTTCTCGCCTGATTTAAAAAAAATTCTGAACATGAATTTACATACCAAAATAGGAAATGTATTTTCCTAACGATATTCATTTCCTGTTATATCTGACCGTATTGTTGCCTTTAATACGTAATGAGATGATAGTTAGGCTGCCAAGAGTTATACATTACGAAAAGTTTCAAGCAAAAAAATTATAGCACCCTCAGCATCAATTCAAAGCCCATAGTTTCTATACTCATTTTAAAGTGATAACCTAGAGAATTTTTAAAAATATATAAGAATATTATTAGTCCCATTTTGGGAAAAGTGAGAGATCTACGTACGCGATTTAATTTTTGACATCAAATATTTTTCTTTCAAGGCTAATCCCGACTAATAAAAATTGTTCTCTATGGAAACTACCTACGTACGTTGGCTATTGTGATACAACCTCCAAGTGTCAACATTACACATATCGATATCGATATGTAAAAAAACGGTTGAATTAATTTACTAATTGAAATTTCAACATTCGGAAGCTTGTATCACAATAATCAACGTGCCGATTAGGCTGAAAACTGGCAAGTACGAGTAGGTAGTTTCCATAGAGAACATTTTTTATTAGTCGGGGATTAGCCTTGAAAGAAAAATATTTGATGTCAAAATTAAAAAAATCGCGTACGTACGTAGATCTCTCACTTTTCCCAAAATGGGATTAATAATATTTTTATATATTTTTAAAATTATCAGCTTTAAAATGAGTAGAAACTATGGAAATTGATGCTGAGGGTGTTATAATTTTTTGCGTAAAACTTTTCGTGATGCATAACTTTTCGAAGTTTTCGATTTTAAACTGTAACATATCAATTTTTATACATTTACATGTACGTACGTATTAGCAATATACGTAATACATGTACCAATATAAAATACGACGGATGACTGATGATCTGCACGCCACTCTAATTTCTATTTTCACATTCAATATTGAAAATACGATAGCAGTCACTGATACAAAATGAACGAAAATACTGACACTGACTCACAAATAATTATCTTAGATGTTGGCGGCATTAAGGTATATTTTTAGCAAGAGTATCATTATACCACATTATACCTTTCTATTAATTTTTATATTTAAAAATATCTAGTATAAAACTTTTCGCTCAACTCTAACCGCTTATCCAAACTCTTTGCTTGGCACAATGTTTGCGGATCGAAATCAGCAACTTCTGAAACCAATAAATGGTAACGAATATTTTTTCGATCGTAACGGCCGTGCGTTTCACTACGTCATGGAGTACTACAGGACCGGAAAACTTTGTTTCCCGTCGTCATGCGATAACAAAACAACTGAATTCTGGGTAACAAAAGAAGAGGTTGAGATTGAACTCGATTATTTTCTCATGAATAAGACATTTGATCAGCAATATAAGGAAGTTCAGTTAACTATAGCTGAGTATCTTAACAAATTTATTACCTTTTTGGAACAACTTATATTGAACGAAATGAGATCGATTGAAACTACTCAAATATTTTTTAAAGTATATGATACAGTAATAGCGATAAAAAATAGAAATGAATCTTTTCCTTATGGATCAAAAATTGCGTTTAACTTGACGAACCAATTCCAAACTGAAATTAGGCAACATTTGCAAAATAGATTTCCGGGATCAAATGTTTCTTTGCAATTGACAACTAATTATAGTGTTCCATGTTGCGACTTTACAATAACTCTTAAATATAATAAAGAATTTATTTTGAGTCATTCCAATTTAAAGGTAAATTTTTCTAGTGCTATGATTTGATTTGATTTGATTTGATTTGATTGAGGACTAATGATATTTTTAGATTAATTAGATTCTACTAAAAGGTTCTTTTGTAAGGTAGTTTATATTAAGTTTCAACAGTCTTCAACTTTTTTCTTTGCTGAAGATATAATAATATAATTCTCTTACAATTTTGCATTTTCAGAAAATCAAATTGTGAATCAAATACAAAAAAACAAATACCCCACTATTCACTTGTTTTTTAAACACTTATATATCATTGAAATAATTAAACATCATGTTGCTATTTTTTATCTATAATATTAAAAATTATACAACATTCACAGCAAATATAAATGCCAAATAATATTAATTACTATTATTATGTTCTTTGCTACTAATATATTGATATATATATAAATACTAAGATAAAAAGATAATTTAAAAATAGTCTTTTGTTTAAAGTATAATAACATAATTTTTCTAAATTTTGAAAAAAAGAAAATAAGTATTTAACAAAGTCAGATTTACAACAAATAAATAAACAAAAAGAATTGTTATATAAAAAAATCTTGTACAAGATAAGTTTTTTTTTGATTTTTTTAATTCACAAATAATTTATTGGTTTTGCTTTCAGAAATCAATTAGAATACTTGATATATTATCCAATTTACTATTACTAACTTGGAAGATACTGTTATAAATAAAAAACAAATCAGAGTTTAATGAAAATAATAAAAAATAGTTATATATTATGCATAAAAATGAAAAATTTGCATGTTCATATAATTTTAATATAATTAGTAATTATGAATATCAAGATATTATAGTTATTCATTTATTTATTAAAAAATTCAAATTATAAAATAAAATTTTTTGAATTTTTTATAAATTTATTTTATTTTATATATTAATTTATATTTATTTTTTATAGCAAGATTTAATTGCAAAAAAAAGAACTTTTTTGATTTTTTCTAATATATTTTTCTTTTTTAATAAGAATAATAAATTTATAACTAAACTAACTTTCTTGAATTTTATTTCTGTCAAAAAGATATCAATAATCATACTTAAAATAAGTTCAAGTTATTTTAAAAAAGAAACTAAAAAAAATAAAGTAAAAAACAAGTTAATATTCAGAGAATTTATTCAGTTTTATTAGAAAATTCAGATTACTAAGATTATTGAAGATAGTAAGATTATTGTAAATATTATCTAAAGTAATAATATAGAACAATGCATAATCTAATTAGTTAATATATTAATAAATTATTTAAAAAAATAAAGATAATATAATTATTTTATTCAATTTAAGTTTCTTAAATATAAAAACTAAGTTTATAATAAAGAATCAAACTATTTCTTTACAATTTATCTTATCATCTCAGAACTCTTATAAAAATATTATTATTTATATGATCTTATATAAAAAAAGATTAGCTATAATTAACTTATACATATCCAGTAGATACAAGTTTTATACTCATTCAAGTTATTTTTACTTACAAAAATATTATAAACAAGCTAATTTTGATTGAAATAGATCCAAATTTTCAAATATATTATTTTTTTCAAGTTCTTAATTTTATAAAACAAAAATAATGAATAAAAATCAAGTTTTTATAAATTAAAAATCTGCTATTATATATTAAGTTAAAAAAAAGAAACAAGTAAATTTATTTGAAAGTCTTTAGAATAATTTTTTGAATAGATTTTTCATAATTTCTTAAACTAAAATCCTATCATTATTAAAAGTACAGTAATAACTAAATATGACTCAAGCTATTATTTAAAGAAAGTTTTGTCTTTGATAAAGTATTTTGATATTATACTTATATAAATATTTAATTATTTAGAATAATCTATAAGTATATTAGTATTAAATACTATTTTTTTAATAAAATTGAATTAATAAACTATTTATAATTAATTAGAGTAATAATCTAATTATTTGATATAAATATAGAATATATAACTAATCAGAATATATATATTAGTTAAAGTAATTAAGATAATTAATTGATATAGATTAGATAACTATTTAGTACAGAACTAATTGATATAGAATATATTAGAATTATAAAAGAATTATTAATTTTCTAGAAAAATAAATATATTCTTTGTAAAAAAAATTTTTGAACATATCAGGCAAAATTTGGTTTTTTGTATTAATTCATTTTTATTTGGAATATTTTCTGGATCAATACAAAAAATCCAGTCTTACTTTAGCAAAAATCTGTTTTTATTACCAGAGTAAAAATAATTTTTAAAAGATCTGACATACTTTCATTTTTTTTACTGGATAAAAAATGTATCTATATAAGAAATCCAGTTTTACTTTAGCAAAAATCTGTTTTTTAAAAGATTCAACATAGTTTTATTTTTTATCCAGTAAAAAAAATGGAACTATGTCAGATCTTTATCATTTTTATTCTGACAATAGAAACAGATTTTTACTTTTTATTTATCAGTATATATTATATGATTTTTCTGATCTATTATATAATTTCTATTTTTGATGATTAAAAAAAACTGATAAATTTAGTTATATTATTAATATTAATAATTTCAGAATAATCAAGA